CGGCAAACAGAGCGGGACTTAAAATCAAAACAAAAGTTATGCGCATTAAGTTGGGTTCTGCTATATTAATAGTGAAAATATAAGTTGTATATTAAAAATACATGCATGTGGAAGTATGCCAAATAACTGCTCGATTTTTCAAAGAAACCGAGTTGTAGTGATTAATTCGCTGCATTCTGACAGATTTTCAACGGTTGAAAATGTCATAAACTTAGAAGAAAGCAAAAAAAGTAGTATCTAAAAATTTATAGTATGAGTCGTATAGAATTCACGTTCATAAAACAACTACTGATTTTTTCACTATAATAGTCGTTCTTGCACGACTGATAGCGAAAGGCCCAACTGCCTCCGAAAAAATATTCTGCGAATCCCACCTTGGTAATTTGTGAGGAAACATGTTTTCGCAAGCAACATAATATTTACCAAACTTCGGAATAGCATTTCATAAACGAGACGAAACCCAAAAGAACGTATTAAAATTGCTCAAAATCATGGGAAGATTAGTAGAAGTCTATTTCTGTGTTTTGCACTATTGTAGCGGATTAGGCAATATAAGAATTTTTTGCAAAATCAATGTATGTAATCAATTATACACCGTATTTACCTAATATGAACTCACGTTTTTTTTCTATTCCCGAAAAAAAACTGGCAAACTTGATGATCATATCTCATTTAAACCACGAAATATTTACGAAATATGTTTAGAATATTGAGTCATGCGTGGCATTATTGATGTAGCCTTGCACTTGATGTAGCCTTCTATGCAGGGTTGGAATGTATGTTGATTGATCGATTTTACTGTTTTGAGTTTTTGTTAATAATTATTGATACTTTATTTATTGGACTTGCAGAAAAAAAACTACTTCTGATATTTTATCAGAATGACTTCATTTATTTCTAACTAAAATTCAGTTTTTCATTACTTTATGCTCACAGCGATTAGTTAAGTTTTTAAGTCTAATATGTGCAGTAATAAACAAAAAATTGAGTAACTCTACAAATCAACATGATCAGTTATTAAAAGCGAAGACAATCTTTAAAGATTTCTGCGCCACATCTGGTCAACTATGCAGATTTGTCTCAATTCCACTTAAAAGTTCTGTTTTAATTGGATTTTGACATTTTTCATATGTTATTAAAATATTTAATCGCTTCAAAATAATTAATATTTAATCGCTTCAGTACAAATTACATCAAATGATACCAATGATGCACAAAACTGTCACGTAAAGGAAGTTGACATAATAACTGCTCTAAGATTTTCAGCTTCTGATAAGAAAACCCCAAATAAAACGGCACAAAATACTAAGGAAACATTTAGATACATATTTTATCGCTCTTCTTATTTTTATTTAATAAAATTTTTGATGCTCTTATGCAAGACCTGAAATTTTTTGTCTTAATATCAGAATATTGTACATATATCATTTTTCTAAAACAAACAAACAGTGCTGATCAATATCAAAAATATCTCAAATTACAATAACAAATACTGTCACACTGCACCGTACTGCACCGTACCGCATCATACCGCATCTCATCACACGGCAAGCGACCATAAAAAAATATATTAAATGAAAGACATTAGAGATAGAGATTGAAAGGCAGCTATTGTGCTGAAACATAGTACAGCAATGCAACAATTTATTTGCAGTAACAATTTCTGCAAATAAACAACAACCAACAACAGAAGAAGAATAAGAACAAGAACGCGCATTAGCTAGTTTCTTCATTTCATTTCGCTCTCATTTGACCCGTCATGACAAAGGATCGATCACCATTTCAAGTCATGGCAGCAACATCAGCGCAACTGGCAAGGCATTGACATTGGTCCCCAAATATCATAGAAAGCAACGATCACACAAAAAGACACCTTGTCTCAACGAATCTTGTATTGTCTTCATATAAGCGTGAGTGTGTGTGTTTGTTTAAGGAAAATATAATAACGTTTCAAATGAATCCCGACTGCTCGCATAAAGTCGCTTGTCGCTTGACAGTTAGAAGAATGACTTAAATTCACTTCTATCCACTGCACTTCAATTCAGTTGAATTGACTTCATCTTGTTTCGCCTCACCTAACCTCGCTTCACCTTTACTCAGCTCAACTCATATTAGTTTATTCATCTGTGACTGATTGTGACTATTGTTGTGATTGTTCACTGTAAATTCGGGTCGGGATGCGTTCAGATTCCTTTTATGCTTTTGTTATACATAAAAGACATGAGAGTAGCTGTTTTATCGTTGACTGTCATCGAGAGCTTCTAGTGTTTTGAGATATTGATGATCACCTTTTCATCAATCGAAGCACTTCGTTTCATTGTTTGCTTTATCTGCTCAATGGATATTTTGTCACATGTCTCTTCTTGTGCATCACGTGCCAACTATTGTCATTATTAGCATTGTATTTCAATACGTTTTGCTACTGTATTTTTAAGTAACACCTTTTGGACTACTTTGTGATAAGTTGCTAAAATTAAAAAGCAAAGTGTTCATAGCCTTTTAATTTTCTATAGTGTCAACTGCTTTCTACATTTCCGAAAACAAAACTACTTTACAATATATTGTCAACTAATAACTCAAAACATTTTATCCGATTTGACATTCGCACCTGATACTTCATATTTTACTCGTTAGTATTAGACTACTAAATACAAATTAATTTTTCACCAGAAAAATTGTAGGCCATGGATAGGAACAGATGGTAATTACTTGGTGTCAGATCTAGACTATAAAGTAAATGCATAAGAACTTTCCAACCAAGATTTGTCGTGATGAAACATAATTCATCTCCTATTGCCCAAAGCTGGCCGTTTCTGGGTAATAGCTTTCCCCAGACGATCCAGTTGTTGACAGAACAGTTTCGAGATAAGAATTTTGCCGTAAGGGAGCAGCTCATAGTAGATGATTCCCTGCCAATACCACCAAACACACAGCAAAACCTTCCTGGCCGGCTTGGCTACCGTTTCTTCTGGCTCACCGCGATTCGTCCACGACCGTTTTCGCTTGACGGTGTGGTAAGATACCTGTCACATTTCATCACCAGTCACCAACCGCTTCTGAAATCGTCGATTTAGTTGCGATTCAGAAGCGATTCGCAGATGGAAATTCGATCCATAAGATATTCAGCCATATTCAAATGATTCCAAATGATTTTGGTGCAATATTTAGCTCTTGGGTGCTTACATGATGATCGGTTGTGGGAATTGACAATTTCCATGATTCTATCGACATTTTCAACAATTGACCTTCCATTGCGTAATTCATCTTTGACTTCAGGTGCGGAATCGATGAAACCGAAATTACGCCATTTAATTATCACCATCTATCCGATAATTAAAGCCATCTATTTAAATAAAGTACTTCTCCTAATATTTATTACTTTTAGCTTTCAGCATATCAACAATTTGTTGTGGAGGTTTTTTCTTATTGTAATATTTGTGTAAATGTACAATACTAAAACCCAATTAAATTTTTAAATTTTAATTTAAATTAAACCGATTTCTTCCTACCATTGCAATATCGAATTGCTTCCTCATCCACCGTATAGTCCAGATCTGGCTCCAGCGACTACTGGCTATTCACAGATCTCAAAAAAATACTCGCCGGTAAGAAATTCATCTCAAATGAAGAAGTAATTGCTGAAACTGAAGCCTATTTTGAGGTAAAAGACAAATCCTTTTACAAGCACGGCATCGAGAAGTTAGAGAAGCGTTGGAATGATTGTATTGTCTTTGAAGGAGATTATATTGATCAGTAAAATCTATTTTCGGCAGAAAAAATTTGTTTTTCTTAGTTAATCACATGACTTATTGAGTGATGTGTTATACATTATATAAATAAATATATAAAAATATATAAATTATTATTATTATTATTATTATTATTATTATAATTATTATTATGTTATTATGTAAATTATTATGAATTTTGGTACCTGCATATGCATAGTACCAAGTTAAGAAAATTCCTCTTAAGCAAAGTTGCATAAGATTCTGCCTTATTGCCTAACAGATAATAGCGTTGAGTGCGTGCGCGCGATTTATAAAAATTAAATACACAGAAAATCGAAAGCAAGATCGCATAACAAAATTAAAACATATTCTCAGAGAATAAGAGCGAAATAGTACTTGAAGTGCTCTGACTCAAACAACTAAAATAATAAAAAGAGTAAACTAAGAAAGAGAACAAAAATTTTGCATGCGAACTCGTGTTATATGTTCAGTCAGGCAAAAAAATGTTCCATCGTTCTACGGAGAGGTGCAAAAGTCAATACGGAGTCAGCATGATGTTGTTTTGGATTTTCTAATAGGTGAGTGTTGTCATTATTATATTTAAACATAAGCGTGGAATGTCTTAAAAGTTTCGAATACCAAATTCGGATGATAATATCTCAGTATATGTAAGGCGATTTATTTACGTATATAATGAATTAAAAGATACTTTTGCAGTTAGTATATACCAACCACTACTCTTACGAGTAATATATGTATTAATAGCATGCATAGTGATGTTTATTGTTAAGGAACAACAAATATATGATAATATCTTCCATTGACACCAATTTCTCTACTACTACTTTGCTATTTAACAGTAACCCTTCAACCCCATAGAGTTTTTAGAATAGTCACAATTGCTATATTATAAAATGGAATAAGATGATCAGTTTATATCACATTTAACACTGGAAGTCAATACCACCATAAAATTAACGAGTAGAGATTATTATGAAATTGACTTTTATGTCAAAAAAGTATGTACAAAATGTTACGATTTGATTTCGCAGTCTTAGATTTAAGAAGGGGCTGGGAACTAAGTCATGACATCACTATACCCTTAAGGATAACTGTGACAATAAAAGTCCGATTTGAGTCCGCTGTCTTACTATGATATTATGGAAGTTAGTAGATACTATAATTAATTTATAATTCTTTGATATCAAAAGTAGGCAAGGAATGATTTTTAAACTTTTCATGTCATAAAATCAATTCTCCAGACTAACTCTTACAAAATTTCAATGAGACGATTGGATGAAAGCTATTGGGTGCACTTTTATTATACATAAAATAGCGTCAGTAGTGTGTTTGCAAAACCTAAAATTTTTTTACAGCATAATCCTCATTTATCGAAGATTACAAGAACGGAGCGCTAGCAGAGTCATAACTGGCTTTAAAACATCTAATACAATCCAAGTAATCTATTTAGACTGAATTTATTTCGATTTTAATTTATAGGAAGAACCTCATCTGTTCTTCAAGATAAAGGATATTAACATATCCAACTTCCAAATTACTAAGAGCCAAATTAAATCTTTCTCCATTCTCCAAGAAATAAACAAAGATCTAATAATGAAATATCAGTTCTTCTTTGGAGATGTAGCAACAACAACTTCAATAAATTTAACTAAACATATTCAAATACTACACCCAACTCATACATGTGGACGTTTCCAGAAGTGCATTTAGGGATAGTACGTAATACGCAACACTGCAGCAAAGTGTAAATATATGAATATGTAAGTTATTACATTATGAAAATGAGGAATATACATAAACTTTGTTCTTATTTTATAGTTTGAGATTAAAGTATTTTGAATTTGAGTTGCTCAATTTTTTTTCAAGGTAAAAACTTTAGAATGCGAGGAAGAGTTGTTTTAAAACACTATCGAATTAATAATATTTAAGGAAAATATTACTTAAGCAACATTCTTAAGTAAAATTGAACTGTTTAGTACATTCAAAAAATGTCTAAGGCATAAACTTCAGATCTTAAAAGACAAACTAGATATAAGAGACTTAATACCACACACACACATATATATTATTAAGTATGTGTTAAATATGTATTCAAATATTAAACAAAATGAGAAGTTTGTTAAATGTTAATTATTGTAGAACTGAATGAAAATACCAGTCTTAATCTTAACCATCAAGGGGCGTGTTATAGATTCAAACTTTCAAACAGGTACTTCTCTGGTAATTCTCCATATCATTTTTTTTAAGTAATTTTAATTTTATTTTTTTTCAGCAATTTTCCTTTTTCCAAAGCAATTATTTTCAATAATTTGCCTTTAATCCTTGGTGTTATAGTATCTTTATTATACTGGTAAGTAATACCCTAAAGTATTTTTGTGAACAATAATTTAAGATCAGTATCATTAATAATACGTCTAAGAAAAATTGCTTCACTTCATGTGATTTATTTTAACTTCATTAAATAACTATTTTTAGTTGTTTTGAAAATATTTGGAAAGAAAAAAAATTTCAAAACACCACAAAAATCGAAGTGCTATTTTTTTTCGTTTCTTCGCAGTTTTCTGTTCTTATTCATACCTTTTCTGGATGGCTTGAAATGCATAAAATTACAGTAGACGCAAAATCATTTATTATCCTTTAAAAAGTCATTTAGCAAAATACCAACGATCTTGTGCTAACTTATCCTTAAAAAGATAAAATGAATAAAATTGTGGATTTTGTCTCAGAAATTCAAAGAAAATAGGAATTTTATTGATCATCACAAAATAAATTAAGCAAAAACCATACATTTTTTTCAACTGTGTCCACAGTTTCCTAGTTGGATTTGAAAGAAAGGCTCACTTTCATTTGAGCACAAATTGTTACCAAATGAGTGCTCAGCATGCTAGTACCACAGCGGGTACATAACCGGCGCAGGCGAATGAGGTAGATCGTGCCAGAAAATGTCTGACATTTGAGAATGCAACAAGAACACCACCGAAGCAGTTTCGTTAAGTTTTAGGAAAAAATCAAGGATATGAAGTAGATATGGTTAAACATAATTATCTATAACATGTGATTGAAGTTTTAGAAAATGTATAATAAACATGAAAAAAAAGATATTTCTCTTAATTCTTATTAATATTATTTCATTTTCCGTTCAATGAGCATAAACATTCCATAAAATTGTTTATTTTTTATGTTACATGTCTTTACTCAATAAATGATTTTACAACTTCAGAATGTAGAATTCTACTCAAAAACAGAGGGCAGATCTGGATCTATAAAGCAAATAAAATGCGATAACTTATTAACTTGATTCGAAAGAAAAATTTTTAGAAGAATTGTAAGACCCATACGCCAGGACTTATATTGTCAGTAGCAACTGTTGTGGGATTTACTAAATCGTAAGAATATGTGGATTTTTGATGACGAACGAAATAATAACACGAAAAATAGTCAAAAACGAAGTTAACGAAGTGACGTCCACTTCGTCAACAAAAATGAACGAGGAAAGCAAACCAAAAATTACAAAATCTGGAAGCGACCACTTGAAGAAATCTATGGATCGGCACAAATTGGGACATTGTAAAGATAGTAAAAAATATTATATATATATAATATATATAATAGTATATTATAAATGTGTGTGAATTTTCAGCAAAATGCGGAGTAGTTTGTCCTTTCTTTCTTTATATGAAATATTCGTACGATGACAATTCTATGTATTTTTGCTGTTTTTGCAATAATCCTACGACTTTTAGCTTTCCCTATATTATAGCACCTATGTCAAATACTAAATCGTAGAATAACACTCACATATATATATTTTACAATGTATATATATTCGTGGCTCAAAAGAATTAAGATCTTACAAATACTTTAATATATCAAAAAAGAACGAGGATTTTAATTTTTTGAATTCTCGCGCTTATCCAATCGGTAAATTTTTTTTATTTCACGCTGGTAACACTATTATACACATTCCGTCAAAGTTCAATTCATATCGTACGATTAGTTTTTGTTTGGTGTCTATACAAAGAAGTCGATAAACTATCGTGTGGCGATTTTTATAATGGATCAAAAATTAGAACAACGTGCGTGCATCAAATTTTGTGTTGCAAATGGATTCAAGTGTGCCGAAACTGTTAAAAAATGTTAAAAAAGGTGTTTGGTGATTTGTGTGTGTCGCAACCACGAGTATAGGTACGAATGGTTTAAAAGGTTCAAAGACGGTCCTACAAGCTTGGATCATGATGAGATCCCTGGCCGCCCAACAACTTCTGTTATTGAAGAAAACATTGAATTGGCGAAGCAGATCGTGTTGGAAAATCGTTGTGAACCGATTAGAAAGATTGCAGTGTTGTTCGTAACTGATGTTTTCTTTAAAAAAAAAGCGTCGTTGTGATGTGGCCAAAGAGATGATTTCCAACGCAGATAGTGACCCCACATTCATCGAACGCATCATAACTGATGATGAGACATGGGTCTATGAGTTTAACAAGTCCACCAAACAACAATCGACCGAATGGTTCTTATAAGGTGAGCCGAAACCGAAAAGAGAACGCCAAAGTCGATCCAAAATCAAGGTTATGCTGACTGTTTTCTTCGATATTAGTGGTGTGGTGTACTGTGAATTCCTGAAACTCATGGATTTTACACCGCGATAACGCACCGGCTCACACAGCGTTGGTTGTGTCGCAGTTTTTGGCTAAAAACTCCACCAATATCATCAACCAAGCACCGTACTCTCCAGATATGGCCCCGTGTGACTTTTTCCTCTTCCCCCGCCCCCGACTCAAATTGCCATTGCGATGACCATAGACGCGTTTTGAGACCATAAAGGCCATAAAAGAGAATTTGCTGCGTGAGCTGAAAGCCATACCTTCGGCGACCTATAAAACTTGTATGGAAAATTGGATCAAGCGTTGGCATGCATGTATTGCCGCAGGAGGAGAGTACTTTGAAGGCAATAATAAAGAAAATTATTAAAAGTTTAAATTTTACGTTTTTGTTTAAATTCTTGTTATTTTTTTTTCGTAAAATCGGTTGACGGCACCCCCCAGATCTGTTCATTTTACTAAAAAAATTATCTGGATAAGTGGAAATTGTGCCCCAAGAGACTCAAAGATTTAACAGTTATTTGTCGCGCACTGAAACTAATTTCACGTCTTTTATTTTATATTGTAAAAATTTATTGCTTATATAAAAAAATATTATTAAATGATTGATTTTTAGACTCTTTAGGAGGTCAACTAATAATTAAATATCATTTAATGACACTTTTATGCTTGCAAGCGATTTTAATTAGCGGTAAATGTAAATATTAAGAAATATCCGTAGACTTTTTCTGCTTTAAAAATTGCTACTTTCGCATATAATTGTGTTTAATTTTTTTTTAAAGAATAACTGTTTAGTTTTAATATTGCAACTTTATTGTTGTTTCTTTGGTTAAAATAAATCAGGAAATAAAAATGAATTTGAATAAAAATTAAAAAAGTTATGCGTAATTTTAGAAAAATTTTGTGAATATCCGTAGACTTTTTCTACTATGTGTATATTATATATACGTATATATGTATATATATATAT